ATGAGCGAGAGTTTTGTAAACACTGTATGGGTTAAAGGTCAGTTCAGGCAGTTCAGGGGATGTGGGAGTAAAAGGGCAGAGGTCACAGTGACGTCAACACACAATTTCACAATGGCACTGGACCACTCCTCAAATTCATCCTCTCATGGTCAGACATCGTTTTTCCATCTGTGATGGGGGCGGGGCTACTGCGACATGGAGACATTCTGTTTGTGTGATTATTATTATTATTTTTTATGACAGTATTTATATTTTTACTTTTCTCTTATTAATTCATCCATGAGTGATTTGAAATATCTAAGAACAACTGAACGTTAAGCTTATTCTTCGACTCCGGTGAAGCTCTTTGGTCAGTTCATCTGGTTAGTGCTGAGTTACTGTGTGGATTGTACTGGTTAGTTGGTTTTAATCTCATTTATAAATCAAATTTAGAACTGGATTTTAATCGTTTTAAAGTAAAAATCTAAAACAACTCAACGTAGACCTCGCCTGCAGAGGGTGCTAGTCAGGCAGTTATCGTGCCCTGCTTCATGAGTTGATTGTGGTAGTAGGCCGTCTGCCTTTCTGTTGAGCTGTACACCTCCAACAACAGTGTGCCAAACGTCCCCGCCTCAACACCTCCAACCTCGTCTGAACTATTGTTAAATTCCATTCTCTTAGTCACAAAAAAAGTTTTATTTAGAAGAATTAATGCTTTGAAGATGCGTTTCTTTCCAATCCCGCTAGCCCCTGCGCACTGCTCATTACTGCCACCTACGGGTTTTGTACACCTAGACAGAAAAAAAAACCCAACTAAACATCAGTGCGACGTCGTATATACGAGTTGGTCCCTTAAAAACTACCTGGAGGAAATTTAGACTCATTTTCATGAAAGTTTTACAATTGGAAACATAAACGTTGTTACGAGGAGACTTTGAGTCAAACAGATGATTTACATTCTCATTCTCTCTGTAAGTGTTACATTATGTTGGTGTCTGTGCATGTATACGTGTGTGTGCGTGAGTGTGTGAGTGTGAGTGTGTGTGTGTGTCCTGCGACCACCCCATACAGTAGGTCACCCTCAGTGCCTTACACTGTACTGGACACAGTGGTTTTTCTCCATCTGAGCAAAGTCACGGCACACAGAGCTGAAGAGTTTTACTGTCCTCATTGCCTTCCCCATCCATCCTCACCCCCACCCCATCCCGTCTGTCTTTGCCTGAGTGTGAGAGAGGATGGATGGGATGCTGGAGAAATGACAAAGTGGGGCTGGTCAGTGAGTAACCATGTAACCATTCTCTCAATGCCACGTGTTGAATGTTGTTGTCATTGGCTCTGTAATTCTTGTACATATAATCCATAAAGTTTCTGAAAACTTCATCTGACGTCAACTTCCCATGCTGTGTCTCATTCTTTGTCCTGATTTGTTTCTCTTTTTTCTTCTTTTTCTTTTCAACCAGGTCTACAGTACCTGTGTCCTACACTAGGTGGTGTGAGAAAACCGTCATCCTCATCATCTACTGCAGGGTGCGTGTGCGTGTGTGTGTGTGTGCGTGTGTAGGTTGAACAAGTTCATACTCTGCCTGTGTGGGTGTGTTTTGTCTGCAGCTCTGGCTGAAGAGTGAATTCATCTTCTGTTCCACCTCGTTATGTCCCTCAGTTGTGTGGACGTTTTATTTAAAGCTGCAGTGATGTGAATGTACCAGTAGGGAGCAGAATAGCAAAAACAAAGGAAGCTCATGCGCGGTGTAGGTGACACTACGGTTGTGTTTATTTATGATCCTACATTTAATGAAAATCAATCCCGTCCGATCTTCACCGCAATTCTTACTGCGTTAATGTCCTTTCGTGCGCATGCGTTTGTGTGTATACGTGCGTGTGGAGGAAAAATAGGAAAAACAGGTATTTTCTGGATTATCCCAGGATTTTGAAAGTCGCGGTTCAGGTCACATTTCACGTCACAGCCCTGCGTCAGAAGCACCTGTAGTCATTTCATGTTGCAGAAGGTTAGCACCAGACTGACTGTGTGACTTTCACAGCATCTGATATTATCAGGTTGTGTGACTTTCACAGCATCTGATATTATTGATATTGATACTCGTGTTGTGTTTTTGATATTGATATTTTTTTATTTAGCTTTTATTTAATAGTCTGAAAAGAAAATTTTTTATTTTGCTTTTATTTAATAGTCTGAAAAGAAAATGGCGGTATTGAATTTGATACGTCAATATGTTAATTTACTAAAAAAATGTAAGATTATTCTTCAGTTTGCATTGATGAAGTTCTTGATTTATTGAGTTGATTCGAGTTCAGTAGGTTCTGTTCTGTTTTACAGTAAAGTAGTTTCACCAAGACAGAGGTGACTGTCTCCAGCTGTCGCTATAGCAACCCCCAAGGCCTCTGTCAGAAAATACTGTATCTCTCTCATCACTTCTTTGTTCATGTCTCTCTCTCTCTCTGTCTCTGTCCCTGTCTCTCTGTCTCTCTCTGTTTTTCATCCAGTCATCCATTCAACAGGGAGTTGTTGCTTCGAGAGTTGTTCAGAAAATATTAGGCAACTACGATGCAGCGTTAATACCATTCTGGCTAAAGAAATTCAATATTTTCTTTTAGAAATACGTCAATTATGGACGCAGCTTTTCACCGCTGTTGTGTCATACGTCCAGTTCCATTCTGCTTTGACACAAACTGTGACAAACGAGAGTGAGATTTAAGAGTCGAAACTAAACCTGATGTTTCCCTCAGAGCGAACAAAAAGTAAAAGCCCGAATATGAAATTATTTAACGGGGAAACTCTGTGAAGCAACTTCCAGCCGTCCGTCTCATCGCCATCATCACCTGACCCAGTAGAAACCGAACCAGTGCCACAGTAGAAAACCATACAGGATTCACTCAGCAAGATGGGGAAAAAAGAAGAAAAAAAAAACAACAACTTACATGGCAATTTAAGATAAAAAGAGAAGTATTTAATTACAGATTTGCATGTGCAATGTGCATGCCACTATGTGGGGTAACAAGTCAACTTCAGGAATAAAAAAAAATAAATATAAAGAAAAAAGTATATATATGTAAAAATATATATAGATAGATGTTTTTAAGAGCAATGTGTTTCTTTTTCTTCTATTTTTAAAAACAAAAAATGTAAAAAAAAAAAACTGTGACCAAAAAAAATACGAAAATGCAAAAAGAGACAAAAAAGATTCTGACAAAAAAAAATATGGAAATGACTTTGGTGATGAAATCAAAGAATGTTTGTTTGTTATATTTGCCAGTTATTTCGGGGGAGGGGGGAACCAAGGATAGACAACACTTTAACTAACATTTCAAATAAAAGAATATTTTAAAAAAAGGGGGAGAAGGAACAAAACAAAATCCTTCTTTGATGAAAAACAATCCACTGAGAGTAAAGAGCTGCCTGAACCTGAATCTGGTGATGTTATTCCCGTTTATTCCGGCTATGAATTCCCTTCTTTCTCTCTTCTTCGGACCACCTCTTTCTCCCCCTGTTTCTTTCTCTATCTATCTCTGCTGTTTCTACCAGTGCATTTTGTAATTTCCAACAGAATTCTTCCTAAAGATCCTGAATAAACCAGAGAGAATGCATTCTAACCACCCTCCTGTCTGCTTCCTTCATCTGCACACACACACACACACACACACACACACACACACGTGGACAATCGGTACTGGAACTGTTTCCAAATTCCTTGATTAAAAATAGAGGCAAAAGTGTAACTTAAAAAATGAGCTCCATAAAGTTGGTGGTTTTCAGTTCACGTTACTGTGTTTCTTGGTGAGGAGCTGAAAAAAAAGAAGAAAAAATAATTTAGATATATAATTAATATTAAATCCTAAGAAAACAACAATAAACACGTGTTAGTGGAAACTTCATTGTTTTATGAACCTTGTTGTTAAAAATGTTTTTTACTTCCACTCACTTTTCCTCCTCAGAAGATCCACCCGAGTCCAGGAGAGGAGCAGCGAGGGTCGGGGAACATGGAGGAATCAGATCCATATTCTACCCTGTCTCAGACTAACCCCGCCCCCCCACTCTGTTCTCTGTCTCCGTCTGGAACTACGTCACAGATGTGTGGGCTGTGGTAGACACACACACACACACTCACACACACTCCATGTCTTGAACTGTTTTATTGACATCTCCCCCTCCCTCCTGCAAAAACCACTAGAAACACAGAGAGAGAGAGAGAGAGAGTAGCTAGTAGTGCGACATTTGAGGACAAGTAACACAATGTCCTGTCCATTATCCTCCAAACTACACACACACACACACACAGCCAGATGTATCAGAGAGCTTTGTCCTCCTGCAGCCTTAAAATAGACGCCACCTACGGATTTTGTCGCCCATCAGCACCAACGCATCACTTCCTGTGTCTGCCAGCTCTGCTGCACACACACACACACACACACACACACTTGTACCCATTCACACTCACAGTTAGTCAGTGCTCTACTGTAACAGGAACATCTCACTCAGTCCCAGCATCAGAACTGTGTAGGAACCGCGAGGACGTGTTCACAGGTCTCTGTCATGTCATCATCAACCATCACATGTTCCACCCAGAACACCCACTTCCTGACGTCTAGTCATTTGGATTTTTTTATTAAAAAAATTTTAAAAATTAAAAATTAAAAAAAATATATTAAATTCGTATGCCTAAGTTCTCATGATTAAGAGACTAATTTTTTTTTCTATATGTAAATTTTTTATTTTGCTTTTCTGCAACTGACTGCCCCCAAGTGGGCACCCGCCCCCCACTTTGAAAACCACTGCTTTAGTGTCCAGGGTCTCAGGACAGGACGTCTGTTTGAGTGATGAGTGTCTGTTGTTGCCATTGAGACAAGATGTCCGGCAAAATTCAGGATTTTTACATTTTTTATTGTTTTATTCTTTCTTTTATTGTTCTCAGGCCGTCATCAAGTCACTCAAAGACACATTTAATTGTCATTAGTGAGCTTTTTTCTTTTTCTTTTTTTCCTCCAAATCTTTGATATGGAGAAGCCGATGTCAAATCTTTTGCATTAGGGCACCAGCAGAGGACAGTATGACGCAAGTTTAGCCCCTTCCACACACCCGTCTGTGAGGTTGGAGAGCCATCAGGATTACTCCCCCATAATCCATTAGGATCAGGCTGCGTTTCAGACGGTGACATCACAGTATACGACCAATCAGCAGTCATAGCATATGGACTTTTATTGCAATTATTGGAAGGGAGAAATGGGTGAAATAATATAATAATTACAGTAGCTGAGGATTTGTTTTTTAAATTCCCAGGGTTTAATTGTCTCTTTGAAAATTGTTAAGAAATTGAATTATTAAAGGTGCATTTGTACAGTTTGTCGTGCGTTACCAGAGATTTTTCGCTGTGATTCGTTGTGATCCGGTGAAGTGGCATCACAGACAGGAACACACCGGTGGTTGTGCTCGCGTCCTGTGTGAAGACATTTCCTGTGCTGTTCTTTTTTTAGCTCCGAGCTGTTAGTGGAGCTGTCAGGGCTCCACGTCACTGCGGCTCCCTGGCCCTTCTGCACTCTGCATCTTAATCAGCCTGAAACATACAGTACATGAGCATCACAGCCAGGCACTGCTGCATCCATGCGACAGAAACAGCTGCAGAGGCTGCAGATGCGCTTCAGCCCCGTCGCTCCAACACGAGACACTGAGCAGTAGATGGATGTTAATATCGTGTGGTCGTCATAATTATTTTTACCCTGTTATTCTGTATCTACATCACAGACTCGTGTTGTGTTTTTCAGACATTGAGTCTGATTAAATCCCAGATTGAATTTAAACAAAAAAAAATTAGACCTTCGTAGAACGCTGTGGAGAAGGACGTTTGTTTTGAAGTGTTGATGACAACAGTCGTTCTGACTGTAGGTCAACCGCACGCAGTGTACTGATGATGAATGGCAGGGAAATGTCTGTTTCCGTCCTGCTATTCAGTTTCGGCTGTGACGTCACCTTTGTCGCTCTATTCTGGTGTTTTTTTATTCATCTTTAATCCACACAGTTGGTCAAACAGGTTTACTTGGTTTGATGCCATGAGTTTTAGAGTTACACCAGTGACACCCAGATATTTTTAAGAACCAAAAAAAAAAAACATCAGAATTTTCTGACTTATTATTGTCTTCTTATGTACAGAGAGAGAGATCTGCTCACAGCTGAAAACGAATTAATTCATTAATTCATTCATTTCCTGATGTTTTTTTTCTCTTGGTCCTGCAGAACAACTTCCTGCTCCAGTCTCTTCCTTTCTCTGTTCACTCGACAACACACAAAATAATCACCTCGTTGTCCACCGCGGGTGTTTCATTTAAAAGTGCTGCCTTTTGACCACGCGCTCCAAGGACATGTTGTACCGTAACATTCACAGTGAATGGCTCTGCTGCAGAACAGGAAGTGCTGCTCTGTATCAGACAGAAAGGAGAGAAAAAACAGCCGCGTTCACATCAGACGTTTGAGAAAGATGTTGTTTTTTTTTATGGTAAACCAGTGAGTGGAAACAGACCAGGGCCAGTGTGTGATCACACTCTGATCTGAATGATAATCTGCAGCCGCTTTAACACTCGCAGCGGCCGAGCCTCTGGAGATGTTGTTGGACAATGGTTGTGTACGCAGTCCGAGGGACTGATGGGTTCAAGGTGGGAGTAGATCAGTTCTGAGCCACATCTTCACTGTGGTCTTGCAGAAGTTAACAGATAAAGATTGAAAAAAGGTGTGTCCGTTGACTGTAGTGTTTGCAAACTGGATTAGATTAGATTAGATTAAATTTAACTAATCCCACCCTGGAGAAACTGTAAATGTTAACATACTTTGTATCCTCTATATTTTCACAGTGATAAAAAGAAAATATGCTGTAATATGTTTTGTAGCTGCACATGTTATTTAATAATTCCACAGTAAAAGAAGGCGACGGTGGTTGATGTGATAATTATATAAATATGTACAGAATAATGGAGGCGTTGTTGTGGAGCTGGAGGAGGAGGGAGTTTGTTTCTGGAGGAGAATTTATTTTGCAAAATCAGGTGACAGTTGTTTTGTTTGCGATGAGTCATCTTGAACAGCTGCCACCGTCGTCATTACCAGCAGGAAGAAGAGATCATTACATGTTGTTTATTGACACACATGAAGAGTTTAGTCTTCACTTTGTTGTCCCGTGTCTGTGTCGTTATGGACGGATGGATAGAACTTTATTAATCCCTACATTCACGACCAACGTGACAGTGTCTCTGTGTCCATTCTGTTTGTGACATTCTTTTTTTGATGTTGTTGTTGTCTTTGTCTCTTTATCTACCTCACCTCAAACTTCCAAAAACACTTCCAATGAAGGTGAGCGACTCAAACCTGAACAACTCGAACGACCGGATCAACTCTGTGAGTAAGAGCTTCCAGTCACGTTTTCAGGAAGGGGAGCGATCATAATGATAACAACGGTGACAGAAAGCCCTGGGGCTCTGCCACGGTAACCTGTCGCTCTGTCAATTATTCAGCCTTTGGCTTCGGCTTCAGTTTCTGTGCCTTTGCATAACTCCCTTCATTTCCCCCTCTGTGTGTGGTGTTGTTAAAGGGAAGCACAGCAGGCAGAGTTATGTGGAAATAAACAGGAAGTGATACAACTCTGAACGAGTGGGTGTGGAGTGGGGGGGGGGGCAGAACAGAGTGGGGGTTAATTCACTTGACAGCAGCGGTCCAGACTCTCTGTGTTCGGTACCAACCTCCGATTTACTCTGAACTGAGGCTAAGTGAGGATTTGTGTAATTTAGCAATAACATGTGACTCAGTGTGTGTGTGAATGTGTGTGTGAATGTGTGTGTGTGGTGTTGAGTTTTGGGTCACGCAGTATTACTCATTCTTTGTAGGGACTGAGACCAAACCTTTGATGTCAGAACTAGTTGTTTTTTTTCCCCCCAGATTCAAGTTTTAATTCAGTTGTAACTTGTTTTCTGGTTACAGTCGTGGTCAAATCGACCAGTTGGGAATTGAATTAACTTTTGACAGATTTATAGTTGTCAGTAATGTGTGTCATATGAGGTAGTTTCCAAGTTTCTGGTCGACTGATTTCACCATCTGAAAGTGAAATTGTGTTATTTTGAAACTTTCGATGTGAATAAAATTCAGTTAGATCTTGATTTCACAGACTGAAGTGGAAGTTCAGGGGAAATAGTTTGATTTTCATAAATAAAGAGTTTTGGGGGTTTTTGTTTTTTTTTTGTCCTTGAACTTTTAGGCTGCGTTCAGAACTGGAACGAGTACTTTTCAAGTATCCAGAGTACACAACAGTACTTCAAAATGAAATTATTTCATAACAACTTCAACAAAAAGACCCAGCACGACGTCTTAGGAATTAGAACATTTTATTACAAAAACATTTACAATATTATTTGTATTTTTACAAATAAAAAGCAGCTTTGAATTTGAGGTATTTCTTCACGTGTCAGACACGAAAGAGATTTTTTTTTTTTTTAAATGTCTTTAATTTAGTAGCAGTAGTATCGATTTATCAACGTCCACAGCAGCAGCAGCTGAGTGTGTGTTTAGGTGTGTGTGTGTGTGTGAGGCTTCACTTCCTCTTTCAGTGGAATGACATGGTTCAAAGACAGGAAATTCCCCCGTAGTTCTGTGGTTGTGTTTGGTCTGTGGTCAAGCTTCACCTCCCGTGTAACTGACGGACTGACTCACAACCACACTCTCTGTTGATTCACACCGAACACACACTTTGAGTCAGCACTAGTCACTTGTGTGAACTCGTTTGAGTCAAGGTTGAATCATTAGGAAACTGAACCAGTTTCTCCTTCAAACTTCCACGGCCTCTCAGTCTCAGTCCTTGTCCCCGTCAGCGGGTCGATCTCCGTGGTTTTCACCCACCCGGAGTCATCGCTGTGTCCCGGGACGCGCTGATGTAGGTCACCGTGCCTTAGTGCGTAAAGGGATTAAACCACCCTTACAGATTGAGAACCATCTCGTGTCCAAAGTCTCAGTGAAATGGAGGCGTTT